TGACCTGTGAGCCGATATCTACATCGGTTCATATTCTCTCGCTTGGCACAAGCTTGACTCTACTTAGAGCTGTTTGATGTTTCCCTTTTTCCTTCTGCGAGTAATTCAACTAGCACATACAATTCTGTTTCTGACCCCGCCACCTACGAACATTTCGCTGGCTCATCACGATGTCTGCCTTTGACTGGCTTCTTCCCTGTGAGCGTACTTTTTCGTGGTCGAATATGGACGTCTACTAAAGTTTGGAGGGTATTTCTAGAGTTTGATTATAGTCATATGCCACCCAGAACAGTTCGTATGCTGAGGATTCCTGAACGATGTGTGAGGTACTCCTTCATCAAACTCGCTCCTAAGTAGAGTCCCGCTTGTGCCAAGCGAGAGAATATGAACCGATGTAGATATCGGCTGACAGGTCAGACATAGCAGCGGGAGAGCACGCAAACGAGCAAGATAGCAGGTAAGGCAGCGTTCAGACTTCGCGACGGCAGCGCTTCAGTCGCGCGTTCGACGCGATCGATGCGCATGCTTTCGACTGCATCGATCGCGTCGAACGCGCGACGAAGCGCTGCCGTCGCGAAGTCTGAACGCTACCTAAGACATCTGTCAAAGCGAGCGGAGTCACTTCGGCATCTTGTGCCTTAGCGCCGCTACATCACCACTTTTGCAGTTACACCACCTCTCTCCACGAAGAGCGCCGGCAGTTCCGATTAATGCCCGCCGCCCCAACAAAGAACAACTGAGCGGCCCTGCGTCAGACGTGGAGAGGACATCTAGCAAGTGGGCGGTCCAAGTGAGCGGGCATTAGAACTAGAACTTTCAGCGGTTGTAGCACGATGCACGATCCTGTAGAGTCGCGAAAGTGGGACAATCTCTTAGCTTGGGAGGGGGAGGAGGGAGAGGGGTGGACTACTTGCACAAGGGAGGGCGACGGTGAATTACTTGAGCGCGCCTATTTAGATGGGATTCGAAACCATTTTTTCTCTTTTTGAAGAGAACGTATTCATTAAAATGGTTTTCACTATGCATAGAGTGATTCATAGAACTTTAGTTTCGTATTTGAAATGCGAGTCTCTGAAATTTGATTACTTTCCCACAAACCTTGCACGTAACGTGGCCTCAGGGGAGAGAAGAGGAAAAAGCAAAACGAAATCCTGAAAATATGCCAGCAGTCCTACAGGATTCAAGTGAAAACGATGTGGCTTTACATAAGGGTGCGCGGTTCGGCTTGGTGGGGCATTTTACTGGTTTACATGTTTCACTGCCGATGCCTGTGGCACTTGTAAATTCCTTGTAAAGTTTTGTAATAGCAGGATCAATTACACTTGACTGAAGTATACAGGTCTTGCCGAGACGAGACCTGTTATTTAGCAGGATCTACCAAAGGAGCTAGTGCAAAATGTCCCTCCCAAGCCGAAGCAGCGCCCATATGGAGGTTTGAATAAACAACTCAGTCGCATTCAAAGTCCCATTTGAATTCTTTCGTAAGGTACGTTTTGAACTGCATCGACTTCTTTTTCAATTCCGCTGAAGCAATATCGGAATCTGAATGAACAGCTTCAGTGACGGTTACCCTACCACATTCCGGCCAAGAAAAATAGATAAATTTTTTGTAACAGACTTCCAAACCTCACCTCTGATATTCGCAAATAACATCGATAAAGTCGTAGTGAGAAAGTTATCCCGTGATACTATGTCAACGAAAAAATCTGTAGGACATTCTTTCAATTCGAAAAATAAAACCTGAAAAAATGATGACATTACAAAGTACACGAGAATGACAATAATAACACTTCCGGAACACAAATCACTCAGGAAATGACGTACTCTGATAAATGATATGTACATGTCCGATCGTGGGCCAAGAGCAGATGGGCAACAGCACATTAAGATGGTATCAGACGTTTCCACTGCTCGAACCCTTCGAATACCTGAGAACACACAAATGAGAGGCCAGGCGCTGTTTGGCTTAGAGGGGGCATTTTACACTTCAGAGCTTTAGGGTAGTTTATGTTAATTGACAGGATACATTCTGGTGAGAGACCTGTAAACTTCTGTGAAGCTGCGACACTGGGTTAGTGAACCACTCAGGTTACTAATAAGGTGACCTGAACTAGTTCCCCAAAGTACCAACTGCGCTCCCACCGAGCCGAACTGTGCTGAGCAATTATAAAACCCACCACACCAAAGCTTAGCACTGGTGGTGGGCGCCCAGTTGAGAACATGGGCATCTTTACTCAACCGAACAACTTTATCGCGACACACTATCGGTGGTTAGCGTGATCCCGATACTAGTAGTGAATAATTAGATAAATAGCGGACAACAATCCTCAATATCGATCGATAAAAAACACCTTACAAAAGGAAATGCAATACTACCCAACTGACAGAATCTCGTTCACGATCCCGAGTGAGGGCAATCCGCGATTACCTAGTGGGCGGGTCACTCAATCCCATCTAACCTTTTATCGCTGACTCACTGTGGTAGCAGATTCTCCACATTCGCAAAGTATAAACGCGGCTCTGTTGGGGCCAAAAAAGGCACACACCTGACCAATCAGAAAACAGGCGAATGCGAACTGAACTTCAGCTAACAGTTGCTTCCAGTCACCATTCAACTGTCGTATGACACGTTCTAATCGATCAGTGTAGTCAATTCCAACGCGGTTTTCATCCACCTAAATTCTAATTTATGTCCTAAAACTTTTACTGGGTACTATGGCAGTACTACAGTAGCCAGAACACTTGGTCGAAACTTTCACAGAAATCTCGAGGAAAATAACATGGATAAACGAGGAGACTCACGTTTAGTTGAGGTATACCAATGAATCGTATTTCATATCCTTCCCTTATTTTCATTATTGGCAATCCTTGCTGATCCACGAACCGTGTGCGAGTAGGATGTTCCCGATCAACACTATTGCTGCATCCAACAGTTGCATTGAGCTCAACTTGCGAAAATTTCGAAAATCAGGTGAACGATATCAAACTGTCAAGCCGGATGTCAACTAGTGAAACCGAAACATGAAATACCTCCTCGTTCTCCATCAAGCACGTCTCCATGCTGACAAGCTCAGCTTGGGCAGATATCTGGCCTTTCAATGGGTTCAACCTGAAAATGGAAAGTGTTGAGAGTGCGCGCTCACTTTGCGGCAATACTTTGAGAGTCTGAAAGCCTTTTGAGCGCCCACCAGCGTTTTGGCAGTTTTTTTAACGTTTTAATCTTCCACTTTCTTCCACCTCCACTTTCTTAGTCGATCCAAACGCTCAAAATTCTGATGCTCAAAACACCCAAAACGCTGGCGGACGCTGAGAACCTCAGACCGCTACATGCTTCCCTAGTCGCTGAAAACGCTGGTAGACGCTGAAAGCTCTGAATGATATCAGTACTTTCCTAGTCGCTCATAAGGCTCAAAACGCTGCCGCAAAGTATGAATGCACCCATTGAGAGCAGTGTTCGTGCACCACAGGGTCTTACCTCTCTACTGTCTCTCCTGTGATAAAATCTGTAAGTGCATACCAACTGCGATAATTCTCGAAAGGATACGGACCCAAATGGGAGTCAATATTTTTCAAATTCGCTCTTAGTCTACTAACCTGCAATAAAACAGAGTGAAATTGCAATCATATGAGCAACATATTTTCGAAAAAAGCTAACCAACCTCCTCATCGGACAAAACTTCATCGGAGAACGTCTCTTTCACTTTATCCCACTTCTTCGCTACAATTTCTTCAGACTTGAAATTGTGAAAGAAGCCTGAAAGTCACAATAAAAACAAAGAGGGACAACCTTATAAGCCCCTAAACTTCAAACGACTAGTTCATAAGAAACAAGCTTTGAAACTTTGATCAACTGCGTTTGCCACTGATCAACTCTACCTTCAGAGTGAGAAATATTCCTATTCCCCCCCCCTATTCCTTTAGGCCTAAAACTTGCAATCAAAGAGACATACCTATTCTTGGAGCTCCTTTTACACTGCAATACACAAAATGAACACCAGCTGGTATCATTTTCAGACCCATAAATTTAGGACCAACAGTCCATGATTTGTAGTCAATACCAAACTCATGTCCTTCTGGGAAGTCCTTCAAAATCTGAAACGAAGTTCAACTTTACCGTCTGACCATGAAAGGCTCCTTCAAGGAGCCTGCTGAACAGCTGAATCTATAGTCTGAAAGCAACAAGTAATACTAGGCGCAGCGACCAGAGGAGGGCATTCCGCTTCTAATCAACGTATCGACCACCAGATGGAGACCTGTGAAACCTTGTAAAGTCACGAAACGACCGGCCAAGTTTCGTAAAGAACACCTGTCAACTATTGTAAAGAAATGAGGAACTAGTGAAGCACTGAACGTGCAAAACTCCACCTCCCCCCATCCCGCCGCAGAATTGCGCCTGCGGTTCGCATCCTACCTCCTTGCAGAACGGTAGGAGCATATTGTATCCGGTATGGTTAAAGTGAGCCAGTCGAGGTATGAATTGGTTTTTATCCTACCAGACGAAACTGTTAAATCCATCATCCCCGGAGAAATGAAGACATGACCGGCCTGATCAAAATCAACCCGGAATTTGACCCCGCACCATGCACGCGGAAGGCGAGCCACTTGTTACCACACTGCCCTGCTCCAGCATAAAATCTCCAGTGCTTGCTCTCCAAATTTTCTAAAACAAATATCGAGAGGTCCCCACACATGTCACGCGCTAACGTGGTAGGTGACACATGGCAGTGCCCCTGTACCCCTTCCCAGCCAAGGCTCAGTGCACAGACGACCACATTCGCCTGGGTAATCTGGCGGAGAAGTAGTAAGCTCAAGCCTAGAGCAGAAGAAGGGACCGGAAGCGCTGGGGAATGATCTGCCCAGCTACGTCACCGCCAAGTGTCATTATTATGAAGCAAAAACCACATTTTGTAGACATACCACAAATCCTCCTGAAGAATACATGTAGTTGACGACTTCTTTCGGTAATTCAGCTCCATGTTTGAGTGTATGCAGTATGTGGAAGGCCATTAAAACACTGAAAGATCGCTAGTAAAATATGATATCTACTTCAGTATTGAACGACGCACTGCACACTAATGTTTCTACTCGAGAGTAATCACATGAACACTTGGAAATGGTAGGAAGAAGTGTTTTCGACCACTCGCAATCATAACAGCATACATTTTCAACTACGAACGGTGACATCTAATACGAGTACATGGCAGAGAGCGAGTTGAAGCTTCAGAAAGCGATGCCGTTGGGAATCACAGGATTCGCACAGCAAAAGCAACTTGGTAGATTACGACCTAAGCAACGCATACACTATATACTTGTAGGGCTCTGCCCAACCGGCTCCCCTAAAAATTAGCCCCGTAGGCCAGAAAGGAGGACACAGAACGGATATTCAGAACCAAAATACCTTAGTTTATTGGATGCAAGGCGAACCCTAGCCCAGAGGTGTGTCCTTTGTATTCTTGTAAATGCGAGTGTCCATTCCGAATAATAAATGCTTCGAGGGCAATTAGAAGATTAGAATTACAACAATACTGAAGAAGCTACTGTTGTGCTCAGAAGCGGCTATAGCGACCATACAAAAAATAAATGCGCATTATTCAACAGAATAAAAAAATAGTTCGAAATACGGAAAAGAAGGAAACATAAATGAATGGCGGAAATGAAAATATACAATTATGGAAAGAAGAGCAATGCTCAACGGGATTAGCTCCTCTAGAAAGCACTGAAATTCGAAAAGCAAAACGTGGCGGCAAATAGCGAACTTGAGGCGAAATTGTGCAGTTGCGGTTGACTTTCATGGGTACGGCTACGCTTCGTTTTCAAAACAAAATAGTAATCCATGAGTGGACTGGTGTTGTGATGAGGACTCTTCTTTGACTTTATTTCTTCGAAGCATTCAATAATGACATAGTAACAATCAGACAATGACAATGAGAAAGTGAAATTTAAAAGAAAATCACCGAAATGGTTGTCATTTCCTCGCAGGACTATTCTCATGCCATTCATTGGTTGGATACAACAATGCTCCTAAACAGCTGCCATGCCTTCCACCATTCTGCTCTATTTCAGCCGTATTTCTGGTTTTTGCCTCCCATTCAATTGAGAACCCGTGCATCAAGAATGAGCCCCTCATCACGTGATCTTTTTCTTGTTGTTTTTTCTCAATGACAATGACTACCCGCACTGGTGAGCGCGGCAGACTGGGTGAACAGTCACTCCGATCTTTGGCAAGTTGCCCAGAACTTCTATTTTTAAGGTCTTAGGAACATGGTATAATTCTCCATAGTGGGATTGTCTGGCCCGCCGGGTAAACGGCGACGCGTTTTTCCCTAGGGTGAAAAGTATCTGGTTCAGGCACTTAAAGCCTCCCCCACGTAGGCAGAAGCTCTCATTTTCTCTACGCTTATTGACGTAATTTTACATATTTGATGTTCTGCACAAAAATGTCAATCTCACCGTGTAACGCCTCGAAAGTGTGGTGCTAACGTATTTGGGGGGGGGGGACCACGCGGCTCGCGGCGTGCGATGACTCATCTGCTCTTCTGCTACCCCTCGGCAAAATAGAAGTAATTTGTGTTTAGGACATGGATATAACACCGACCTAGCTGTATTAATACAGTAACGCTGAAAAGTCCGAAGAAACAGTTGTGGGCTGGAAAAATTTTGAACCAATTACAAAATTTTGCTGCCTGTTTGTTGTTGACTGTTATTGTTGACTACAAAAGATCAAACATTTGTTTTCGCTTCCGTGGGATTTCTCAGCAAGTTCCCGGTGAACCTTGTTTGTTTTATTCTAATTTGACTGCTAGAATCGCGCTTCAAGTATGCCGATGAGTGAAGAGCCGATGAGTCATCACTCGCCGCGCGCCGCGTGGTCCCCCCCCCCCAAATACGTTAGCACCAAAGTGTTATTGTAAAAACTCAAAAAAGAAAAAGTTGAACAAGTCTTCTGGATCTTAACCCTAGCGGCATAGTTGGCCCTAGGATTACTATGTTTCATTCAACATTTGGGAGCTATTCCAATTAGCCGTCTCAGGTTATCTGTCAACCGCGGCGCCTCCATCCGTCTTCCTTTTCCTTCCTTCCTTCCTACATCTTCTTTCTTACCATTTCCTTATTTCCCTCTCTTCAAATGTCGGTTAGAAGATGCAGTGAGAAAATGCCTCTGCACCCTCGCAGCTAGAGAATGTCCGGTTGGCCGATACCCCGTAACCGATTGCACGGATTCGGGACAGCGCAATACTAAAATGATTGTGAAATTAGTTTTCCAAGGACGAAGCCGCACTGTGAGAGTTTTTCTGCTTTCTCTTACCTTCCATATAAGATTAGCGATACATCTTCAAGGCCATCCCGTCAATGCCGCAAATTCCCGCATAACAAGGGTGATTGCGGTAGAATCACCTGATCGCTCTGTCCGTGTGGTCGCTTGTAAACCGCCGGTGCCTTCTCTTCGCTGTACAGTTTAGTATGCCATATGTTAATCTTTTCCTGTATTGTTGGTTTCCGTTATCTTCTTCTTTCGCGCTATTCTGCACCCTGGCGGGCTGAGTCTTGGGTTTGGCGGTTTTAGAAGACCCATTGGGGACATGTTCCACGGCATTCCTGGTTGAAGAATCCTTCTACGTTGAGCGAGTCCGGAGCTGTACAGAGTGAACTTTGCTACTTGAACCTAGGAATAGGGATGTTAGGGGCTTGTGATGTGAGCCTGATATCGCTTCTTCACTCAGGCTCTACAAACAATTATTACTCCTGCGAACGATAGGGCGTGCGCGAGGGCATGGATTGGAGCGCTGCCAAGGTGACGTTTTCCACCAATGATATCATCCTGGCGCCGCAACAACTGGCGGTGGAAACTTTGTGGCTTCATGCCACTTTATACGCCCAAATGTTTGCAGGCAACTATCTATGGACTCAACTGTTACATGGAGAGGGTACAATATCGTGTTCGGAAAACTCATCAGGAATAGGATGGGTGGTGGTTGGGGGGGGGGGGGGGGGGGTCCATCGATCCGTTGTGGAAGGGAAGGGGTGGATGTTGGTGTGGAGAGAAAATTTCTCGACTGTTGATTTTAGTCGTTTCCGTGAGCCAGATGTGTCCTACTCCCACCCTCACTGGACGACGACATTCTAGAAAAATTTCATCCGAGCGTGTGCAGGTTGTGATCGGGATCGTGCCAAAGTGAAAATGGGGGGAGGGGTAGGAGAGGGCGTACTGACACGGTCATTTCACCGATCCCAATGTTGTACCCTGGGCATGATGCACACTTCACTTCGTGCACTCTTTGGTCACTGTGCGTCCACTCACACCTCGTCGTCTGGTCCCTCTTTTGCGCGTTCAGTGTCTCCCCGCCTCTCGTCGCTTACGTTTTCATTGTCGTGATCGGATGTGGAAAGATGAGCCCCATTTAGGTCGTTTCTGACAGCTTCTTACGCTTTCTATACATTGTTGAATTGCCAGTGATCACTTACATTTTCCAGTTTGAGCAGTTTCATCAAGGTCTTTCCTTTGCAAATTTGGCTTCAGAATCAATAGGGCCCTGCTCGGCACAGGGGGGGGAGAGAAGGGTTTTGCACATGGCCTGGTTTCTTGTGCTAGTCCTACACTTTTCACCTTGGTAAAACATGTTGACTTTCGCCGAGTGTAAACGAAGCTCTTGCTGTTGCATGGCTTTGCAGGAGTTTACATGTCTCCACAGGGGGCATTAGCAGTGATTCATTGGAGGCAGAAAAATGCACCCACCAATCCGATTTGCGCTATCGACAGCTTCACTTTAGTTCCTTGTGGAAGTACTATGCTATCACCGAAATAGTTCTGGCAATTAATTGTAGGGTGGGAATTGGTCAGTTCTGGCTGCGCCATGCACTCGACTGTACTCCAAGGAGTTTAGACGTTTGAACGCGAACTGATTCTATTTCATGAATTATCTGTGATGGTCAATGTCCAACGTTTGGTTTTTCAAACCATTCAGTTCAGTTTACTAGCCATTAGTGCAAACTGGAGAGCTCAACGACCACCATGGTCGAGAATAAATGGTCGCGCAGAGTTTTTTTTTGATTTCTGCTCACCGGTTTGCGTGAGTCAGCATTATATGTAAAATGAATAAAGGCTGTTGAATGGGTGAAATCGATTTTCGTTTATTTTGTGGCAGCTGCTTGAATCTTTTTTTCCTGCATCTCGCTTTTATCGAGCGAATGGATTCTCTTCCCTCATGTGCCACCTGTGCTAGCGATTTCCCTATGTTTATATCATTTTTATGCCTACTACTGCTATTGCAACTGTCGTGAAAGTCTAGAAAATCGCAGACCAGGTTTCCTCAGGAAGCTTTGTTCACCTGCTTTTTGGGGATTCTTTAAATGTCCAGCATATGATGGGAAATATGAGGCTGATGGCTTTGAGCTATGGAAAAGGTGGTGCTGTGTGGTGCGTCTGTGAAAATGAAAGCCCCGGACAGACATTAAATAGGGCCCACGGAGCGCTTTGGGGGCACGGGACGAATAGCGTGGTGAATAGATTCTGTCAGCTCGTTCCCAATGTGAGGTCCCTTCCACCATTGGAATCTTTATCATTCCCTGTCCTATCCTTTGTTGAGTATTGTGAAGTGGGCGGAGACCCCGCACCCTGGGCGGATCGCACCCTAGGTCTCAGGCTTCTAGCGCCTTTTCACAAATTTCACCTCGAGAAAGCACACCATAATGAATCACTCTTGAACCTGCGCAATGTTGCTGCCAGGAAATCGTACCTCTTCCGAATCACTTTTTCTTCGGATGGATGAATATAAGTGTGTTATGGTGTACGTAAACAGCACACCCTCTACTGACAGGATCGGTGGCAATCGTGACTGAGTGCGATTTCGGCTTGGGGGGGGGGGGGAAGGAGGAGAGTGAGTATTTGCACTTCCGCTTTTTTCCATCGTTTTGTTCAATGCTTTACAAGGGTTGATAAGTATTCTTTGCAGGATTTGACTCGTGTTCTCTACAAGTTTTACTGCTATCACTCACAACTTCATAGGATT